GCCAGTCTGGTGAATCCGAAAAATTCACCCGTTAAGTTTCTGGAGACTCAGTGGCTAACTCTCGCGATCTTGCAGGTGTAGGCATAGCATTAGGCAATAGGGCAGAAAACTCACTACTAGACTGGATCCCAGTTGATAGTCGCCTCTGTGCTGTCTGGCTGAACGGCTCAGTGAGAAGTAAGAAGAATAGTGCAACCTACTGCTGTATCTTTGTAATCTCTGTTTACGCACCCACTGACTGCAGTTCGGACGAAGTGAAGGACGAGTTCTACAGAAAACTGTCTAGCCTCCTTTCGAAAGCCAAACGATCACATGTGGTGGTTGTTGCAGGTGATTTCAATCCACAGGTGGGTAGACTGAGTGAAGCAGAAAGGCACTTTCAGAATCCCGGCTGAACGAACAGATAACTGTGATCGCCTACTACAATTGTGTTCAGATAACAGCTTATTTTTGTTGGCATAAGTTTCAGATACAAAGAAAGACACTGTCTGGCGTGGCGTCCACCAAGCTCAACTCAATGATGGACACAGACAGACCACACTGATATCAGTCAATGCTGGAGAGGATCGGCGAAAGACTGCCGCTTCTTCTGGAGTACATACTTGAATAGCGACCACTCGTTGGTCCAAACGCGTATATGCCTGCATCACAACAGATCTAGGAAATATTTCGCAACAAAACCACTAGGAGTGCTGCTGGACAACGAAAGTACCAGAGCCATGTTCAATGAGAAGTCGGTTAGGCAGTTATTGGAACAGAAGACTATCACTCACCCAGAAGAAGCTTGCTGCCACCTCGTATGTTGTGAAGGCAGCGCTGTAGACCTTTGCGACTCCAAAATAATGGCTATAAAGAGCCAATGGATATCAGCAGCTTCTTCTGAACTAATAGATGCAGATGAACGCATCCCTGCTGGCTGTGAGTACAATGAAGAGCTAGCACAATTTAAAAGTAGACTTAGAAAAAGTCTACGCAACGACCGCGAACAGTGGTGGGCAGCAGAGGCTAAAGGGGTGGAAAAAGTGGCGGCGACTGATAACAGTAGACAGTTATTTAGACTTATTAAGGAAACTGGGAGGGGGGGGGAAGGTCAACGGTTAGCGATGCCATAGCGAAGAGGGACGGATCTGAGATTCACTCACAGAGGAGACGACTGGAACGATAAGCACGGCGCTCCGAAGAACAGTTTAGCTGATCTCCACCCACCACTGCGTTTCCTGCTATCCGGTCGAATGTTGAATGGAACATTGAGATAGCCCCCCAACATTTGCAGAAGTAGAGAAAGCTGTAGGTAACCTGAAACGAGAAAGGGCGGTAGGTCCAGACGGACTAACTCTTGAGGTATAATACGAGGATGGTGTTAAGGTGCTCTTAGTCAAGTTAACGGAAGTGTTAACCAGTATACGAGAATCAAATACGACCCCCTCTGACTGGTCTAAATCACTGATTATTGCAGTCTTCAACAGAGGTGAGAAGTCCTCTTGTGATAATCACAGAGGAATCAGACTGATGAACGTAGTATCTAAGATATTAGGTTCCATTATTCTTCGAAGCCTGAGTGCAGCCCAGGAACGGCAAGCCCGAGAAAACCAGGCAGGCTTTAGACCCAGCTGCGGGTGTATCGACCAAATATTCACACTGCGCCAGACTCTGAAACACAGGCACGCTTACCGACGCCCAACGATAGCTGTATTTCGCGACCTGGAGGCAGCGGCATTTGACTCCGTTGATCCAGAAGTCTTATGACAATGTCTCTCACTGGAAGGCATACCGAGTAATTACACTACCTTATTGAAGGCTCTCTACTCGAACACTTGTGGGCATGTTAGAGCCTATAGTGAGATGTCCAGGGAGCTGTACTCGTCGAGTGGTGTCCGTCAAGGGTCCCCACTCTCTCCACTCTTATTCAATTTCATCATAGATATTCTTATGGAGGTCTCCCTCTCGCCACCTAATCACAGGAGAATTTTCGTTAGGCCTAAAATATCCAGATGACATAGTCCTGTTAGGTGAAGACTCCGACAAGATGCAGTCTTCTGAACACTTTGAGTGACAACTTGAGAATGCTTGGGATGCGTTTCTCACCACCCAAATGCAAATTGTCGCTCCAGGATTGGTCTTCAACGGTGCACCACCGCGGCTAACAATAGAGAGTGTAGTGACTGAGTGTGTCGACTACTTCACTCACCTGGGAAGTGCGATCAGCCTTACCCTGGTGTCTCAGTGGCCGATGAAATATCTGCACAGATACAAAAGGCTCGATTGGCTTTTGCCAACTTACGCCACCTATGGCGCCGCCGTAATATCCGACTGTCTATTAAGGGTCGCGTGTACTGCACAGCAGTCCGCTCTGTTCCACTGCATGGCTGTGAAAGATGGTCACTGAAAGTGGAAGACATGAGAAGGCTTCAAGTGTTTGACCACCGTTGCCTTCGAAGTATAGGCTGTATTCCGCAGTGCCACCGCCTGAGTAGTGCAGAAGTCAGGTGAAGAGTTCTAGGGAGAAGTAAACCAGTTGATGGGGTTGTGAACCTTCATCGACTGAGATGGTTGGGACACGTGTTACATATTCATAGTCACTGTTTGTCTCGTCGTACAATGTTGGCTGAATTAGCTTCAGGCTGGAAAACGGCACGATGCGGCCAGACTAAAACATGGCACCAATGTATGAAGTCGTTGACTGTTGGTTTGAGCCACGTGGGGCGATGCAGACTAGCCGGTTAGGGTCCATGGTTGGAGACTCTAGGTGATATGGCTCAGAACCGATGTCAGTGACGCAGATGTAAGCACACATTATCGTCATCTTAACGACGCTATACGGAGTCTCACTATTCTGTCATTCTTCCTTTCTCTCTTTTTGTACCTTATTTTTTCGACTGAATTTTATTTTCTTCATTTTCTTTCATTTGATGTACTGATATGAGCTGTGGCAACTCGAACTGCTACATAGTAATGCCTGGTTCTATATTGATAATGATGTTGAAACAGATCACTTGTTACTGCCTTCGTGATGAGCATTGTAGTAGCATTCTTACTCCTTCAGCATAGCCCCTGAAGAGTAAATCTAGTGACATCAGTTTCAGCATAGTCTTCCATGCGGTAATGAAATACAGTGTGTCATTCACATACATTTCTACAAATAATTTATTAGAAAATGGAAAGTAAGCAAGTTGGTGAGTGTATAGTGGAGCTAATTAACCGCACACACAAATGAAATAGGTGATAAGCTATATACATTGTGTCAAAGCTAGTTGTTCTGTCCGTCCACCAAGACTTCAATAGGAGTAAATCTGACCTCGCAGTCTACTGGTTGATAGCTTAGTTCCTAGGTTAGTGAGACGTTGATCCATATATAGGTTTGAGTTTGACCTAATTTCTTACCTTCGATATACCAAAAAACTTTAGTGTACTGAACAAATAAAAATTGTATTCATTCTTGGATTTCCTCTCTTAAAACCCAAACTTCTCCACGTTACGGTGTTGATTGCGACTATTTTTGTTCCAGCAGAACAAAAACACACATTTTAAAAAAATGTTGGTAGTTTTTGTGTTTTATTTTAAACCTAAAGTAAGCTTGGTTGTTCCGTTTGCTAGTCTTCTTTGACGAACTCTAACTAAGACTTACCGTCAGCTAGTCTGCTGTAAGGCCCATAAAATTAAAAGTGGAAAGTTTCTTTTTGAAGTTAGTACAAACTGTGAGGTAAATCCTACGCAAAACTAAAGGTCCATTTTTATCAATTTGCCAGTGTATAAATACTTGTATACTTATTTAGTCGCGTAATGTTCTACAGTAAATCCAGTAATACTTTTTTGAAGATTTATTTGAGTCGTGTGCTTAGCTCACGGATTCTGTTTGTAATTGTAAAAGACCACTTGTTAAAGGTAGTTCGCTGAAAAATTCAGTAGTCTCGAGCCGGTTGTCGTGCTTCAGTGGCCTGGTGAATAACGCTTCAGCGTCTGGAGTGATGGATGCTGAGTTCGAGTTTCAGTGAGAATAATATCACTCACTGGGATGCAGGTACATTCAGCTGATGAGTCCAAGGAAGACGAAACACGTGTCCTGGATTCCATTACTAGTCACCAAGACAGATACTTCACCGAAAGCACTTTCTTCAATGAACATCGATTCTTTTGTTCAGCCAATACCTCGGCGGCCACAATAGATAGAGGAACCGATTTTTTGCACATATCGGACGTGGCATTTTAACCACCGAGATAACTTCCTCACTAATTAGTTCAAAAAACACTGTTATTTTAAGTTTCACTTGACGTTAAAGTTTAAGTGCAGAATAAAACACAGAACAGGTGAATACAAAACAAGAGGTTTCAAACACTGAAAATCAAATTAACTCAGTTCTCAGCTATACTATTTTTCGAAATCGGCGAACAAATTCTACTATATAAACATGCTGCAGAAATGCTTAAATAATGTGTACTTCTACAAATGAATTTCGAAGGAAGTATTAAATTCACTAAAACATAAAACTCATAGTAAAACCAGCATAAAAACAGTTAAGAGTACACTTAAAAAAACTTTGCATTAGCGTAATTAAGGTTGATTGATGGGAAACGCCAGGTGACAAATGCATTATCCAGCTTCCTAAAAATATCAGCTACTTGCATATATATTTCACAAAAGAATATCAGCTGAAGTGAAAAATACTTGTTCAAAGTTTTATTAGAACATTCAGTTTTGCATAAAATCTTATTTCAGGTCGATGAATTTACCTGACTAAGTAGAAAAAGGTATGGAAAATGTTTTGTATATCTGATTTTTGCTTCCTGTGTTAAGAATTAATCAAATGTGATGACCGACGTAAGATAAAGAAAGAGAAAACTTGACGAAAGATAGATTCCCTCTTATCAACATAAAATAATTTGACTAGATCATTTTTTTCTATCCTATGCTTTATACGAAAGACAGAAAATTATAGTGTTCAACTGAGTGAAATAATCGCTTCTCACCGGTTACTGTGAAAACGATTATAACAGTCAAATGACTAAAATTTTTTGATGATATTAAGCCACACTAATAATACTATGGTGTAGATATCCTGACGTATGGTTACAGCACCGAACATGAGAACATAACTTGTCATCGAAAGAGAGGTCCAATGTAAAATGGACATTAAATTGAATATATTATCATTCCAGTTGCAATTTTGGCTGGCTGTAAGAAAGCAACAGTATCTGGAGTATACTAAGCCGAATACAAACAAAGATAATAAGGTGTAAAGGTATAAAAGGGCACAGATCAACATCATTTTTGCCACAGTGACTCTTGCTGATACATTGTACACCACCAGTCTAACTGATCCACGTCGTGAACCGCCAACTGGGTTGTTGCCCTTTGGGTGAGCTGCTGAAGAATGCACAGAAGCAAACGATGCACATGTTCTTGTTTTAACATCAATCGATGAATTTTTTGCTATCTTATTAATAGCCAAACTATTGGGGTATAAAGAAACAGGTTCTCTTGAATTCAGTTTTTTCAGTTTCCACTTGATCAAAACAGATATCATAATCACGGTAGATATAGTGGTAGTTAGTGCGGGAATTATTAGAGTCAAGAGAAACTTTACTGAATTTACCCCAGGACTGTCATAGAATCCAGAGCATACGATTTGGGTTGGTATTAATAGAAACATATTTGTTGCGAAACCGATTAAATAAGTCAACACGATCATCAATACAGCCGGTCTAATTGATGAATGACTCATACTGTAATACGTTCGAGGAAATAGTGTAATGTAACAACGTTCAATGCATAGGCACACAAAATGCCATCCGGCTACATCACAAGTTGTAAAAGAAGCAAATATTTGTATACGACAAAGCCAATCACCAAATAACAAACGCAAGTCATCTCCAGTAATTGAAAGATATATTAATCTCACTAAATCCGTAAAACACCCTAAAATACAGACGATTTCCATTGAAAATATTAGCAACTGTGTTGACATTCTCAAGGAACAAACTGGCCATGTTAATTTTTGTTTAGGTGTCAAAGGTATTTTCTGTCGTTGTGACTGTACACTGTTTCCAGTTAGTGTTGTCATTGTTATTGTTTGTAAGGAAGAGCTGTTACAAATTTTCTGATTTGAAGTGGAATGCTTGAGTTTCTGAATTATTCGCCAACCCAAAATATAGGCAATCCATAAGGTAGCCGCAATAAAATGTGAGAATATTGAAATTATGCCTATTAATCCAATTATATTTCTAATCAACTGGTTATGCTGGCACATGTATTAATATTTGGAAATAGATTAGGTTTTTAAGAGATTTGCTATATATGAATTTGTAATTACCACCAGTAATTGTGTAAGAAGTAGTCATAATTAACTGTATCTTTTCTGTTCACCAGTCATCAGTTGATATATATATATATATATATATATATATATATATATATATATATATATATCACTGCAGCAATCAACCATACACACTTTCGAAAACTAGATGTCTGTTCCATCTAACTTGAAATCAAACTGATTGCATTGTGATTGGATAAAATATTAAATTCTGTAACTTCACAGTGTCTTATGAAAAATATCCTACAAAAAGTCTAGCCTACCGACGTCACTTTTTGAAGAGAAGAAAAAGTAGCATATTTGAAAACACTTAGAAAACAATTAAATAAACTTGCTCTTATTTCCTGTAGAAAGTACCCTGATTAGTGATTGGTGAGAAAATATGCGGAAGGTGATTGTAGCATTCAAGGTGGGGCATTGCTAACGAATGCTAGATGAAAGTTTAAAATCATTGATTAGTGTAAGGGTTTTTAAAAAATTTTCAACTAGTGTTTGTTGACCAACATGTGAATAATCATTTTTACCTAGAAACAAATGAAAAATATCTGAAGGTATCATTTCACAGTATTGTCCATCAATCTAGAAGAATGATTAAATTTTCCTGCAGTGAAATTATTTTATTCTTTCTTTTCATTTTGAGATAGTTTTAACAATAAGTACAACGAAAGAGTAACAACCATTTTCTCATTTCAGTAAGATAGTACTTACTAGCATTTATTCTACAGTGTCCTTATCTACAACAAGATTTTGGTACCATTTGAACATGAACCGTGTATTCTGCCACAACTGTCATTCTTTCTAGTTGTAGTTTCACCCTATTTTATTAATTTTTTAATAGTCTTAGTATATATGGGAAATGCTAACAGAATACTCGAACAGAAAGACTGAACTACTCAGTTGTTTAATATTTATCCACCTGTCTGACGCTGCAAATATAAGCGAAAAAGAAAAATAATATCACCTGTTTACTGACCGAATACTGATTAATGACAATAATCAAAGTGAAAGTGAACAATATTGTTTTCAATTAGTTCCGCTTCAGTCTCCACTCAAATATAAATCAATAAAAATTAACAAAAGTTCAACCAGTCATGTAGATTTGTCACTCAACAATAAATGTCTTAAATTGTACAAATAGTAATAGCGATGGTGACAATAATAATCGTAAAAATATTAACGTTGACGGTCATAGTTATGGTATTGGCTGAAGAAGTCGTAATACAGATGAAGATGATAATGAGAATGCAGATATTTTGATAATGGAAATGGGTGAGTTGGTTGGAGAACCAAAATTTGCGTGATACTGAAGTATGAAGTGAGTGGACAAAGAAGGTGTGAATAAATGTATTAGATGTGTGAAAGGTGTTAAGAATGAGAAATGGATGGAATTTTTCAATGATGAAGCTGTTTATTAAGTTTTGCGTGAGGAAGGGAGAGATAGTCGATGTACAAATGTCTTTTGGATACAACGATTAGGATTAATAGATCAAATTTCTACAGCTTTCGGTATATGTAAAAGACGAGTTGAAGTCCCATTCCAAAAATTATTTGGCATGGAATAGATAATCTTGAAATCATTTCTCTTGTGATTAATTTAATTTTTATGTTTCTAGCTATTTATATTAGAATAAGACCTAGTAAGTGTCTAACTGAAAACATAACTGTTAATTAATTGTATAGTCCTAAATATGTATTCTCTTATTCGCTGAACATCGTGGTTTGACATACTCCATTTTGCGCTATTTTTATGAAATGACTGTTATAGATGTTGCCTCTTGAAGTGCTGTCATACGAGGTCAAGAGATGCTTAAAACATCCATCATATCTTTACTGGAATTTTACAAGTATTTATTTGGTTAAGTATCGTCAATTCATGTATTACAGTTGTGTCACTTTGGTAAGACGTAATGAACACATTTCAATCATACAAAGTCTCTTTTTATGCAGTTTAATGTTTGAAGCGTTTGAAGCTATAAAAAAGAGGAAAATGTTAAGGTTTTGACACTGTTGATGTCTGTCAAAATTTTTACGCCAAAAAAGTTGTTCAAATTTAAAAACGCACAACAATCACGTATTTTTTAAATCTGTATAAACCGATTTTGAAATTTATTTCCCGGAAGAAAACGGCGGGTAAGAAAATCTAAGCTTAGGAATGCATTTACTCCTATTGACTTTGTCTTATTAATAGTCAAGGATTAAAAATTATACCGAAAATTTAATCAAATCATGCATATCGCTGAAATTACTCACATATGGTGGCCATTAGTAGAATGCAGGACGTGTGAATTATCTTATTCAGGACTTGTCAACTGGATGTAGTTGTCATTCAAAGTGATATTGTGTTTGCTGTGACTTAGACTCAGCGTCCATCACTTCAAACGCCTAGTCGTTATCCGTTAGGTAGCAGAATCATGACAGCCACTCCTTGATTTAATGACATCGTTCCATGTTATAGGTATTGTAACTAGATTATATGGTGGATAGCGCTCTGTTGTTTGAAGCGATGGGTGCTGGGCCGAAGTCCGAGAGCGGAAATGATAACGTTGGAAGATGATGAACAAATAAAGGTGATTTACAGCACTTAAAAGTTGTTCAGCATCTGATCTTTTTAGATGTACCAAACATCATTTTTATTACTGTCATGCAAGCTGAATAAAATAGTAATGCTTACCATCCCTAGCAGTATTTCTCGATTTAGTTTCATCCACAGAAGTGCTACTAAAAACTGAAAAGATGGATTTTACTTAGCAAATAAGAGGGTTTTGTTCAGGACTTAGCGTCGTCTGCCTTCATAACAACCAACTAGGCAACCTTTGATGTCAGTCCAAGATGAATACTAACTTGGAAGAAAAAAATGTCTGAAACCTCCAAATCCAGTTAGACAACCGCCAAAAGTCCCAAACAGTCTTTTGGGTTAGTGATCAATGAGTCTCCTCATGAATATAAAAGGCTCGATGGACTTTCGCTAACTTGCTGCATCAGTGATGCTGCTCTGATATCCGATTGCCATTAAAGGTCGAGTATCGTGCACTTCAGTTTTCTCTACTTTAGTATGTGATTGTGAAACATGGCAGTTGAAGGTGAAAACATGAGAAGGCTTCGAATTTTCAGCCACCACTGCCTTCGTAGCATGGACCATTTGTCTTGGTGTCATTATTTCATTGATGCAGAAGCCGGTGGTAGAGTCTCAGGAGGAAGAGAAATGCCAGTCGATACGTTTGTCAATCTTCATTGATTGAGGTGGCTGAGAAATGTGCTACCTGCGCCTAATCACCATTGACCTCGATGCAGGTTCAGGCTTTAAAGGCGACTAGACGTAAACTTTACATCACTTCATGAATTTCCTGACTGCTTATATTAGCTGTGTAGAAAAATGTATACTTCCTGGTTGAGATCTGCGTGACAATGTAACCCAGTGGTTTGAAACTCAAGTCAATATAGCTCAGAATCGATGTCAGTAGCGTTAATGTACCTAAGCATTATCTTCATCTTAATCGTCATGCCTAAGTTCAGCATTTTGTTCTTCTTCCTTGCTCTTTTTCGATGTCTTAATTCCACTTTTGACGTTTCTCATCATTTCTTTACCTTTCCTCTTAGTGCATGCTCGCTGAATGTGTTGATATTATGAGACAAACTGGAGTGTTACTCAGAACTTCTAAGTCTTATGTTTATACCATCTGTTTATCATTTGGTCCGTATATCAAATCCGCTACAACTGTGGGCAGATAAAAAGCATGTTTTGTACATACTTCGTTTATTACTGTGGTAAAAGTGAATGTGTATGGACCTTTTTCCAGATTACTCAGCACTTTTTACTAGGAAGACGATTAAAAACGTGACCGTATTATTTTGTAATTCTTTAACGTATAATTGTGATCTGGATGAAATGGGTTAATTTTCCTCGACACCCCTTTCGCCTCCAGTTTGCACCTACACACAATAACAATATTATCTATGTGTCGCCAATATAATCCCATCTGTTGTATGTGCTGCGACAGGCAGCCAGACTCTAAACTGGAAATAAACAGACATGAACGGAGTTCAAATGTCTTTTCATTGCAAACTCATCTATTTAACGAAACAACTGATCATTAGATTGGAACTCGACATTCTTAGTAAATAAAGGTAATAATTCCCTCAGTTGCACCGTCATTGATCTCTCTACATATGGAGAAAATTGTTTAATCAATTGGCACATTTGTGAAGGAAGAAAAATTAAGTCGTCTGACATAAAATGCTTACCATTCACGTCTTATAAATAAAGGTTCCAGCAGTCTGCATAAACATTTAGCCATTTTATGAATTCATCATTGTCAATTTCCCTTAAAGATGATCCTCATTTGTGTATTTTAATTCGGTAATATAACTTTGAGATTTCTCAACCACTTATTTTGATACTCTAAATTTATTTTAATTGATTTGCTTTCCATTCAATTTTCACGTCTCTTCATGCCCCTTCATATGTCTACTTGACGATGTTCAAAAACCTTTATTTTGCTTAGCCTTAGTTTTCCCCCCAGTTTCAATTGCATTTGTTTATGGTACACTGCATTACATCATGATATAAACAATCAAGTAAGTAAAAGATTCAGCCAAAGTTTTACGGACATTTATCATTTCATTTAATTTTAATTTCCATTCATTTGTTAGTTGTCTTAAATAAAACGTTGATGAGTTCAAAAAGTATACGTTTGACAGAGAGATATTAGCACTTAGACTGCTCTGTTCATAACTAAAGTGACTGCACAAAGGTGATGTGTTTTGATGGATAATATGTACAGCAAAATTACTAAAAAAACAATCTGAACGAAGAATATACTTTTAAATAAGTTGTCATCAGGTTCTACAGTCGTAAAATGCAGTTGTACAGAATAAAAACAAATCACAGGAAGTGGTTAATACTACTCGGTGGCCTAGAGGATAACGCTTAA